CACAGGATCAAGCTCCTGGTTGTGGTGTGAGGAGGGAGGGAGAAGGAGGTCTGATGCAGGAAGCCCTGTATTTGACTTGAATACATTGCACTCAAAATCATGTGTGGTGCAAAGTCTGCTGCCTCTTTGATTGGGAAAGCAGCATTTGAGCTTGACTCCTTATTGTGGCTGATATCTCCAAGCAGGACAAACCCTGCTTTCAGCATAAAGGACACAGGCTCGAGTTTCAGGTTATTATTTTTAAGGACTCTTAATCTCTCAAGTTAAAAATCCTCCCAGCATAACTCTAGGCAAAGATGGGATTTGGTGACTATTCTCATTACTTTTTTTTTTTTTCCCTTTTCTGAATGGCAGTTCCCTGTCCTCTGCCACCGCAGTCTGCAACCCACTTTTTCCACCATTTGTATTCTTGCTTATGTTGCTTTTCCACCTTTATTTTCTGAAGGGACTGCCTCTTGCTCCCAAATACATAATTTGCATCAGCTTGGGCTGTCCTTCAAAAAGGGATGCAGCCAGTGCAAAGCATTCTGGCGTGAATCAGGAATCCTTATGGATGAGCTGAACACAGCAGAGCATAAACCAGGTCAACAGTAGCTCTCGTGAGAATTCAGCTATATTCCTGGCACGGCACTTCTGATCTGTCTCTCTCCCAACCCTTCTACTTCCCTGTATGGCCACACCTATGCCAGAAGGAGAGGTGTGCTTACAGTCTTAGTGTGGACAAGGCAGGTTGTATTGACCAGCCAAAGCATGCTTTGCTTTCCCTTAGGAAAAATTCATCAGTTAACACACTGGAAACATGTCCCTTCTCCTTTTCCACTCATTAGTGAAGACAAAGCCTGTCTCCTCTTCTTCGGGATGGTGATTTAGGAGTGAGGACCAGCTCCTGTTGTGTGTGTCTGTACAGTACCCATCAGACACATTCCACGTCTGTTCAGTAAGAACATTTCAAACCAGAAGTAGAAAACACCATATGCTCCCCGCTTTGTGGTGATGCTGGAGTCGCTGCATCTTGAGAAGTTAAAATGCTAGAACAGTCAAGAAGCTTGAATTTCGACCCTTAGGAATCGGAATGAATTTATATTGTAAGCTCCAGTTCCGGATTTATTATATATCCCTATAGTATATGAGGGCACCATTACCTACTGGAGTGTACACCAGGCCACAGCAGCGGAGCGGAGCTGCCAACTGCAGCCCAGAGACGAGCTACAACAGCACTCCCACCCAGTCTTCAGCTGGCTTAGCATCTGCCTCGGATGAACCATGCATTTGTACTCAGGCAAGAGATTTTCCAGGTTGCGGTGTGGTAGCCAGGTAACATGGTGGGACTGTGGTTAGAAACTTCCCAAGAGCTGCTTTCTGCCTCGTGCCATGGCCCAAAGGCAATTTTAACAGTTTGCTAGCACCCCCTTTCTGTCTTACCTCCTGCACAGTCTGTGGCTATCTTCAGTCCCAGGCTCCCTCTGCTCTCAGCTTGTACTTCCACCCCATCAAGAATGATAGCCCAGCAAGGAGCTGCACCAGGAGGCAATGCTAACCAGCAAGGAAAAACATAGTTTGGTATGGGATGTTGCAACACCTTGTGCCATGATGTCAGGTACAATACGTGTCTGATAAAGCACTGCCAGAAATATCTTTCATGCTGCTTCTTAGCTGTGAGGAGTTAATGTACGTTTAACTTGTGCTTCAGAGATTCCCGTGGCTGCAGACAGGCAGGATTTCTGGCAGAGCACGATATCCATTTTTCATGATGAAGCTGCAGTAACAGGATGCCAGCAGGATAGCTCTAGGAGTCTGAACATAAGTGCAGCATCCTGATGGGTCCTGAGTAATGTTATATGCACGGTTGTAATGTTCTGTGGATTCGCAGTGAAGATAAATTTTAGCTGTTTGCATGTATTTAATTCTTTATAATAATTCAAAATGCAGGCAATCTGATGGTCTGTCCCTGTGACCAATTCTTTAATTTGGTGCACATTGTTACAATTATGATACTACATGATAATCTTGGTCTTAAAATAAGTTTATAAAGAGCATTTGGAATTTTAATTATGAAATTTGACTTTTAAGTGACTACTGCCAGTGGCTGGGAACGCCTATGCTCAAATATGAGGAGTTCAGCTAACTGAAACTGAGATGCGCTTATCCATGTTTCCACTTTTAGGGGCACTTGTTTCACATTTCCAGATGTTTCCTCATACACACCAAAGCCAGTTAAAAACGACAGTCAAGATTCCCATGCATATGTTGACTGAAGAAGCTAGAACGCTCAGAAAAGACTGAAGATTACAAGTGCTGGACAGACTCATGGTTTGGTGGGACTGAATTAAGGGCTGAGAAAGGTGCAAGACCAGAAAGTACCGTGGACAAATCCCTTGAATAGTGTCATGCCAAAGTGAGCCATTGTACAGCTGGCTGCAGGCTCTGCTCCTGCTGGAGGACTCTCCTTCCCCAACTACAGTGGCCCTTGTGTCAGCTTAGAGTTCCTCCTTAGGAACACCTGCGCCCCTGCAGTGTGTGTGCCTCAGTTCCACAGAGCAATAGTCCCTATTCCAGCACTGAAATTTTGGAGAGAATGTAATTCCTAAGGAATGTATTTCCTTATCACGCCATTGTCTTTAATAAAATAGCTCCAAAGAATCAGCATGGACTACTTTTTTTCAAATTGTGAATTTTATTAGTAATTTATTCAGCCTAGCAGATGCCAGCATGAAAACTATGCAAAGGCCAAATCTCTTCCTCCGAGTGTAAATATTTGCAGATCATATTCAATGGTATTTAGTACTCTGCAAACATATTGTCAACAGTTCTATCCAGACTCTTCCCTAATTGCAGCCTGGGAGTTGGCAGAGGCATGTCCTCAGTGAAAAGACAGTTATGGAAAAAAAATGATAGTAGGCTGAATAGGTTCTCAGCTAAATTAGACTGGAGTTATACCCGAGGTGAATCTGACCCACACCAAATTAAAACCCTGTTATAGGAGCTTGTACCTACCACACACAGTCGGAGGGATGATGCTTCTAGGGGGACAGCTCTCCCAAGCAGGCTGGGAACCTCTCTTGACACTGGATGAAAAGGGCCATTACAATGCAGGGCAGGGAGATTCAACCTTCCACATGTTTTAAGGGAGGTAGTTCCACCTTTTCTTAGACAGAATAGATGTGTGACTATTCTTTCCATTGCATCCACTGGCTAAATTTATTTGAATAGTCCAGAAAAGCAAATATTCCCTATCCCAATCACCATCTGTTCTTACAACAGAAATATGTTGTTTCTTAAATGCTGACCTGCTTTTTGGTCTCTTGCTCAGTCAGTGCAAATTCCCTGAACGGCTTAATGTCTGGGACATATCTTGACTATATTGGAGCCATTTATGTTTAAACTAATATGCTAACATCTCCTTTCCTGAACCTCAAGCCCAAGCCCCTTTGATAGCATTTCATTACATTCCATAATCTCTGCTCTCCTGATAATCTGGAATGAATACAAACCAACTGAAAGTTCAGTGGTGGCTTAGCCCTCATTTATATTCTATGGAAACCTGCTATCGCAAGCATATCTTAGCTTTTCACACGAGACGTAAAGTTTGCTCAATGGCTTCACATTATTTCCTCCATCATTGTGCTTGTTACTGCCAGATAATCTGTTTTACAGCAGACAGTCTTCCTCTCCCCTTCAACTGTCTCTTCTAATTCTCTTAAATTGCAGATCTTCCTTCTCTGGAAAGAAGGGGAGGGAATTCTTCAATAGATGTCAGTGTCCTACATGAATGATGGAATGATGTATCTATACAATATATACAGACAGACATGCGTTAAATTGAGTCCTTAATGCGGAGTGCTGGCCAGCTCTGCATTTTGTTTACTTTTAATTAACTGATGGACCAGGGTATCAACTCCTCCTACTCATCGTTCATTTTGAAAAACAAATTTGTTCTAAAATTACCCTGGGATGCGTGAATGATTTCAGCATCACTTTCACCTGTGGCCAGATTAGCAGTAGCAGCTGAAATCCTTACGTGATCTGAGGCAGCGAGGGCTCCTTCCTCACCTGTCCAATGCCACAACCACCATGTGAAGCATCTCTCAGCACGGACTGTGCCCCTGTGGGCACAATGCTGTTTTCTGCACCTTTTTTTGGATGACTCTTCTCTGGGCTACTTGGAAACAACCCAAAGGAACCGAAATCAGAAGATGGTGTGCTTGCTCTAAAACGAGCCCCCACGGCTTAAAGCAAGTCCTGCACCTCCTGCCGTTTCATGGAGCCGACTCTGTGCTCCAGAACGTGGCTCGTATGTACATATATGTGCCTATATACATGTAAATAATGAGCTATAGGCACGCTTCACAGCTCCACTGCTGCTAGGGTTTGCTCCAAGCAGCCGCGGGCTGCTGGTGCGCAAACTTTTGGCGCGGGCAGCAGCGCTAAAAACAGTGAAACAAGGAAGGGGCTGATTTCTGCTGTGGGGTATTTAATTCTGCAGCACTCTCGACTTAAACAGCGCTGCTGCCCGCGGGCCACCGCGCCCCGGGAGCCAGAGGCGAGCGGAGCGGCGGCGTGGGCAGCGTCCCGCGGGGAGCACCGCCGAGCACCGCTGCTTTTCACAGCCCAGGGCAGCAGGGAGCTGCCAGCCCCGGACGTTTTTTTCTGATTTTTCCTCCTCGGTGGTGGTTACGAACGCTCGGACCCAACCAACCCCGCCGCCGTCCCTCGACGCATTGCAAAAGATCGCGTGACGTCACGACGCCTCAGAGCCAAGCCGAGATTCCCCACGCGCCGGCTGCAGCGCCCGTAACTCCCGGGGCACGCAAACACCGCACGCGTGGGCGGCCCCTCCCGCTGCGTCACTTCCCCCCGCGGGTGCCCAGCCCCGCCCCCAGCGCCTGGTGTTTCCGGGGTGAGACGCGCTCGCCCGGTCACCCGGACGCTCCGCCCCCCGGGGGCGGAGCGACAGGCGGGCGGGCCAGTGAGAGGCGGCGGGGGGCGTGTCCGGGGCGGGGCGCAGCCGCGGCATGTGGTGGGGTCGCTGCGCACTTGTCTCCCGCCGCCGGGTCCTGCCGCCCCTCCGCCCGGCCCTGCCGCGCCGACAGCCCGTGAGCCGGGGGGGGGCGGGCGGGGGCCTGGGCCTGGGCCTGGGCGAGCGGTGGGGGCCGGGGTCTCCGGGGTGGGGAGGCCGCGGAGCGGAGGTCGGTTTGAACCGCTGCGGCCCACGGGTGGCCGCGGCCGGGGGCGGGGAGCAGGGGCAGGGCGGCCATTCCCAGAAACTCCCTCATAAGTTGCAAATTACTTGGTCCCAGAAGTTGCGATTAAGTTGCAACCCCCCTTTCCCCGCCGCCCCGTAGCAGCCGCGGAGGGGCCGCTCGGCTGCAGCGCTCCCGGGGGGATTCTGTGCTTGGTGGGAGCTGAGGGAGCTCCGGTTCGTTTTGGGGGAGAGAGCTGATTGACTCAGCAAGTCATTCGCTGCCTGAAATGTTCCGCTGCCAGGCCCGGTGGACCGCTTAAAAAATGCGGTGTCTGTAGCAGATCACTCTGAGGCGAGGGATCGCAGATAGGTAAAAATACCTTGTGTCTGAATAAATAACGTCGAGTGTGTACAGTTGGGGTTACTTTTGTAAAGGAGATCCTGTTTTGTGCGGTATCGTACTGAATTCTTTTTCATCTTACTGTACCTTAAATAAAGGTTTTCCGTAGCTTTAACCTGCTGCAATGTTAGCAAGGTGTCAGCTGGAATACAGTAAATGGTAGGAAGAATAAGTTCTGTTCCTCCACCAAGCTCTCAAATACAGTATCCCGTGGGGATGTTCTACCACAGTGGATCTTGTTCCGTGAACCCCTTAACTTTCCCCTCTGCTGTCTCCCAAACTTTGTCTTCTAGGATTGGCAAAGAAAAATCCTGTCTCAGGATCCTGTCAAGTAAGGTGCCTTCATGTCCTACATGTTAGCCAACTGAATCCCTGCCAGGCTTGGTCATGCCACAGCACTCCTGTTTCCTGATAAAGTGAGTTAACTGACTGTTTACTGGAGGAACAAACCCATAGAAATAGTAATCCTCCCCACCCTGAGCTAAGTTACAGCCTTGCTGGGTGAAGTAAACTTGCTGATAGTGAGCATTTGGTGCCCTTTAGACCTCAGAGGTTTTGTGGCTGATCAGTAGCTTTGAAAATTAGGCTATAAGATGCATGTTGATGCAGTGTGTCTCTCTCAAAATTGCATGTGTGTCTGTATTAATCTTTCTTACATACCATAATCATCTACTACTATATATGTTAATGCAGTCCATTACATGGTAATGGATAGTTTAGAAGGAATCCATCAATTTTTATTAGCTTTGATGTCTGTAGTACATTAATGCACTTGCTGTACATGTTTGCTGCTTGATTCTAGTTTATATATATATATATAATGTATGTATATACACATGTATTGTTATAGTACTTTTCTGGGGGAAATTTCAGACTACATGCCTCTTAACACATTGGTGCAGACATCTTTATTTTTTGTTTTAATTGCAAATTCCCTGCCGAATTTATAAACCCATCTGCCAGAAAACAGACTTTGCATCTGGTTATCTGCTGTTGAAATTCTAATTGGCACATCCATGCAACCTTCAGCCTCTGCCTTCTAGGGGAAGTCTCCTGGCACAGCACAGACTTTTCAAAGGCAATGGGATTAATTTGTGAGTGAAATTTCAAGCTTCAGTGGTGAAAAACATCCATGCTGAAGGCCTGATAATGTATTTTAAATGTCTGGCTGCATACCCCGGCTTACAGGACTGGGTAATGTAGCTACTTTTTCAGTTGTGTGTGACTGACTAAATTTTTAAGGGAAAATGTGGCAGGGACATCAAGGAAGGGAGGCATTTGTTTAAAGCAGTGCATGCTGAAAACGTCCAAAACTTTACTTGAGGAAACTGTGAAGAATTGATCTGTTTGGGTAGAGTTTCTTGCCTTTTTTTTGTTTTGTTTTGGTTTTTTTTTTTGTTTGTTTGTTTGTTTTTTTGTTTTTTTGTTTTTTTTTTAAAAGCACGGAGAAAATTTTTCTCAGTGAAGCTTTTGGTATACGGTTCTGCTGATGTCTTCCCATGCTCTGACACGCGGTGTTAACCGAGTACATGTTCTATGTATCGTCATCCATGCTTGGAACAGTTTCATAAACTGAAAGCACTGTAAAGCAGGTCTAGCAAGGGTTTATACCAGCATATTTGCAGTGAAAAAATACAGGGGACCTGGATATAGGAGGAATGAACTTGTTTCTCTGCTGCATACCCACCACCCAGGTGTGTCGCAGTGGCTGCTTCATCTTGGCCATCGTGCCTGTTCTGAGTGGTGTGAGGCTCATGGCTCAGAGCAGTCGTGTGGATGGTTGGGCATCACACACATGGATTTCCTCGTAGCCCTCGTCTCTGCATGGAGATCTTCTACATTGCCTGAGTGCATGTGCTGAACAGCCATGCTCAGCTCTATCAGATCTAGCCTGTTTCTGCTCTCATTGCTGGACCCCATGTATAAGCATGTTCAGGCACTGCTAATGTCTGTTTTAGATTTATCCTTGCCCCTTTAATTGTTGCTTTGTGTTTGATGCAAACTTCTAACAGCAAGAGCAATTATGCACTGGGGAAGCCAGAGGAAAAAGCAGTCGATTCACTGGCACTTAGGTGTAGATCTTCAGCTGCTGTGCATTGCTACAGCTCCCTTGCAGAGCAATGATGATCCACACCAGCTGGCCATTTGCCCTCTGAAGTGCCTTGAGAAAGCTGAAGAAGGTGTTCATTCCTACAAACACTGATCTGGTATAAAGCTAATCGGTGTGGTGGATGAGATAACCTTCCCACCTCCCTCCCCATCCCCCATGCAGTAATTGCTCGATGAAACTCCATGGTTTATGCTGCACCAGGAGCTGGACTGGGTGATCTTTGTGGCTTTTTATCTCCTACCCTTGAAAGGACTGGGAGGGCAGTACCCCTGCTGCGTGCATTGTTGCTGGATGCCATCTGACGCTGTGTGCTTGGGCTCAGCAAGGCTGCTTCCCTTCCTGGCTTCCAGCCTGTCCAGCCAGTGTAACCCTTCATCGTACCCAGCCCATTGGAGTCTGGGTAGGACTCCCAAAGGGCTCCTGACTTTCTCAACTGGGAGGCTAAGAAGTCCCGTGGAGTAAACTGCGCTTGAATTCTTTCTTTCTGGATGGTAGCAAGCATTTAACACGCGCATTCCTCCTGTCAATTCTGCTCCCTTGGACTGAAGCTGTGGTTCCCTTTCTACAACTCAGTGCTTGGAGGAGTCAGCGGGGCTTGTGAGTTGGCAGCTGAGGTGTCAGAATGGTGCTGGCGCTGCAGGGATCGTAGTGATGGTGAACAGGAATGCAGGCAGGAGCTGGTTGTGCACTTTGGAAGTGTTGTTTGCAGCATCTCCAGCTTTTAACTGCTGGAAATCCAGGGAGGTCACCACACGGGTAGGGTGCCCAGGACACTGTGGTACAACAATTCATCCAGGAAAGGACAGTGTATCTCTGGTGTGGTATGCGGACCCCGTTCTTGAAGGAATGTCTGCATGGACATTGCCACATGTTCATGTGGACAACTTATTGACAAAAGAAAGCGACAAGAATGGCAGAAGTGGGTTTTAATGCTCAGTGGAACAACATGCTTACCTTACAGGTGTGTAGAGCAGCACTTGGCCACTTGCTGTTGTGCTGTCTGGCTTCCTCGCTGCTTTGGCTCTTTAGGTTTGTATTCATGGAAACCCTCCACTTAGGTGGTGGCTCTGCTGTGCTGTTACTGTGATTATCACTGAAATGAGGTTTCCTCTGGGCAATTCTGAATGTTGATCAGTGTATATGCCAGAACTTCTGGCGGTCTTCCATTCCCTTTGCTGGCTTTGTTTTAATTTGCCGTTGTGGGCTTGACCTCAAGGATCAGATCTTGGATTTCAGTGCTAAGACGTGGAGGTGCTACTGCACTGGCACCAAATCGGTGTTGTGCAGCATCGTTGGACAGGATGGGACTGAAACGTGGTCCCTCATGGCTTTGCTGTGGTGGGAGAGCTGGTCTTCAAATGCACTTTGCAGAACGTGAGATCTCTGGAATGACAGTGCGTGAGCCTGGATTTCCCATCACGTCTTTTCCTCCCAGTTCACGTGATAACTTGTCAACCATTTGGAAGGCACACTGGGTGCTTGTTTGTTTTTTCTTGTAGCACAGTGTGGTACGAAGAAGGAAGGGGCAGAGAGCCAGGGCTATGGGTGCTTGTTCATTTGCAGCCAGCTGGACTGTCCCCCGGTGCATGTGGCAGGGCCCATAGCCCATCTGTACATCCTGCACCTCCCCAGGAGCCAGCTGGGGCCTCTGTTTGAGCAGGAGGTTAGGTCTGTGCGGTCAGTGCTGGCTGCAGTTGCATGCCCAGATTACCTCTGTACATCACCACAGCTCCTGTCACCTCTGCTTGGGGAGTCTGTTGAGCTGTGTCCCCTAAAGGACACTAAATTGTGCTCTGCACGTGTGGCTGTGGAGTATCCAAGCCCCTATAGCTTCTTCCATTATTCCCTAAATACCCAGAGAGGGAAGGGCAGATTGACTGTGTACAAAGGCCATTCTTTTTAATTTATTGAGACATTCAGCAAGCCCTCTTCACAACCATCACCGCTGCTGCTGAGAATGACCCTCTTACCTCTGACTGTCCTGAAGGTGCTGGGATTGCCTTCCCTGAGCTCCAGCTGAGTTGGTGCCGTGCCTGGAGAACTGCTTATGCAATAGTTCAGCAAAACACTTGAGCACATACCTCAGATAAAGAATGTGCACTGGTTTTAGATTTGTTTTATATGAAAAAAAAATAACAGGGTGAAAGTGATTTGATGAAATTTGCATTGAATTTTTTGTGTGTGTATTTGAGTTGGATTTATATTTGTTTGGCTTGAGGAGACTTTGCAGCACTTTTAACTAAATCTGTGTTTAAATCCAGTTAAGTTAAACTCCCAATACAACTTGTGTGTGGAGACCAGGATGAAATCTCATTAATTCTAATAGGATTATGCATGTTCTTTTGCTGAGTCGTCTTCTCTTTCTTTGTTTGGTTTTTCTGTATTAAAAAGCAGGATAAACCTTTCCACTGCATCTCTTTGTGAAAATGCTTTGACAGTCTCAGGGAAGTCGCTCACTGATTGCATACAATAATATTTTACACCCTTTTTTTTCCTGCTATGATTTCTACTGTAGTCCTACTGTATCCAGGCTTTTATTGGCTTTTGCTTCCCCTAAAGGCACAATAATTCCTGACAGCAAGAAAACAGTTACAACTGTTTGCCTAGTAAGTTTCTACACTATTTTTTTTTTTTTTTTTTCTTTTTTTCCCATTTTTCCCATCCTTCTGGACAAACTTGAAACTGCTGTGGAACAAGTCCATTAGTAGATGGAAATTTTGTAGAAGTCATCAGGAACTGAGCATGTGTGGATGGGTGAGGGCAAAATTCATCCCTGTTCATGACCTGGGAATAAATTGAAGAAAAGGGAATAAAGGTAGGAATGTTATGAATGCAAACTGGTTGAAGTAAAATATTTGGGATCCCTTGAAGATCAAGCAAACCATTAATTGGAGAGGAGGCCACTTCATGCATTTGTACTACCTCTTTGCTTCCTTGTTTCTCAATGTACATATCATCACCTGAATCTTACTATTGATTATTTTGGATTTGTATGTGATTTATATTATAGGAACACTTCTCTTCCCTCTCTTCAGAAAAAGCAAGCCCCACGGCAGGTATTTCTGTATGTTCCCGAGATGCTTTTCATGACACTCATTAAATATATGCTTTCATAGGAAAAGTAGACTGTCTTGTAGCTCATGCACTAAGCTGGGTTTAAAGAGGCTCGATTTTAATTTTCAGCTCTGACCAGTTCCTCCTGTAGCTATACACAAATGGGTCAGTATTCTCACACCTCTTTTTCCACCCTGTGAGATAAGGGAGAGTTGGTCTAGCTTACCTACACTCCGCTCTTTCAAACTGTTG